AAAGGGGACACGGCCCTTGTCCCGGCTGATCCTTGGATGAGGTTCAACCCCCCCCCCCCCCGGGAGCCTGAGTCTGAGCAGGGGTCTTTGAAGATGGCAGGCCTCCTCCAGGGTCCCCAGGCAGACAGACCCCTGAGGCCAGCTCTGCCCCTAACTCGCCCTGGGTCTTTGGTAAACGATTGCCTCCCAGCCCAGACTCAGTTTTTCTACCTGGAAAAGAGGAACAGGGCCTTCCAAACTTTTTTTTTTTCTTCTTTTATGTAGCAGATTCCAACAGAATCTTGCACAGAATTCCCAGGACATAAGCCAGATAAAACGCAGCCGTGGAACGACGCCAGGGTGTGTCTCAGTTTAGAAATCCTTGCACTCTGAGTCCCCTGGGCCCTTCCACTGAAGTTCCAGCTACCTCTCCCAGGCCTCGGTTTCCTTTCCTGTAAGGTGGGACTTGGCGAAGATCAGCCCAGCAGCCTGTTATCCAGAGCATCCCCCAGCTCTGTGGGAAGACAGAGCGATCTGTGCGTCCCGGGTTGATGGGCAGGGGCAGCTGGTCACAACTCCAGCCCCGGCTGGGCCTCAGCCCGGCACACTCCTAGCTTCCTCCGCACCAGCTCAGGATGACCCTGACGGACACCCAGGGCCCCTCCTCCAGCTCTCTATCTGCTCCTGCTCTCCACCCACCAGTGCGTGTTGCTACCACCTGAGAGCCAGACACCGCAGAGGTGCTGGGGAGGATGGGCGATAGTGATTCAGGGTGTCAACAGCCTGTACAACTAACGACTTATTGCATCCAGCTGATCGCCGCAGAGAACGAGACTGATAAGGTCCCAGCTGCCATGGAAGCGCTCAGATGCATGGGAACAAGGGGGCCCAAATCCACCTCTGTCCTGCAGCAAATGGGAGGGTGCAGCCCTGTGGTTAAGGACCAGGGACTGCATCTGAGTTTCTTCCTCAGCGGGGATGCCCACCACAGAGTCCAGCCCACAGTTCCTGGGCTGCCCATGCTGGCCCCGGCCAGCCCCACTGATGGCACATTCAGAACAATCCAGGCTCTGAGTATGGGGTGGGGTCACTTGTACGCCTATATCCACAGGTCATATTCCTTGCCCCCCTCCCAAGGCTGCCGTCCCCTTCGGATGACTTTAGGTATGTCTCAGGGGCAGGGGCCCTTGGGCCAGTAGTGAGGCCAAAGGTCAAAGAGAGATGCAAAGGTCTCAGCCATGGGAGGGATGGTGAGCACTGGGTCAGACAGGGGGGACCTGAACTGGGAGGCGTTTGCTGGGAGAATCGGGCCAGGCAGGAAGGGAATGCAGACTCTCAGTGTGGTCCACGGTGCCCTGCAACGGTCACAACAAGGCTGTTGATGAAGACCCTGACAATCCCCAGGGCACTGAGAGCCACCCTGGAGCAGTCCCAGCTCCATACCAGGCAGGAAGGGACACGGCTCTTAACAGACCCTCGCCCTCTTTCAGGGAGGAGGGCTGTGTGGTGCACAGGCCTTTGGAGTTCCATCCACCCCCTCTCGTAGAAAATATCTGCTCTCTGTACAGACGCATTTAAATGAACGATTAAGACGGAAGATCCACAACCTTGCCGTGGTTCTGTCTCTCTCGCTGCTCCTTTGGAATTTACTTTTGTGGATGAGAAGCTCCTGGAAAGGTCATGCCGTGGGTTAAGGGAGAGCTTCCACGCAGCGTTTCTCTGAGCCCCTGCTGTGCCAGGCAGTGGGGACTGAGACACCAGGAGACAGGCAAGGATCAGCATCTTCCCTCTGTCCTGTTCCTGTCAGCCCGCCAAGCACATTTTCACTTCATTCATTTTACCCAAAGGTGGGTTTGGAAGCAACTGTTGGTCCATTCTGGAACAAGGTAGGGTTTAAATAAATATTTGGCACAGAAAGGTTAACTGACTTGCCCAAGGTCACCCAGCTGTAAGTGTGGAGCCAGGTTCATACCTAAGAGGTCTGTCCTTAAAGGCGCTGCTATGTGCCTCTCAAGATAAAGGGGTCTGGGAGTGCAGATGAGGGGCAATCAGCTCTGTCGGGGGTCCACCGAGGAGGTGTTTTTGAGCCTGACTTTGAAGGATGGGAAGGAAGATGCCATGAACACAGTCCCAAGTGACAAGTGAGGAAGAGACCAGGCAGGAGATGCAGCTGGAGCCAGGCCACAGGTGGCGTGGCCACACTCGCTCCTCCAGGTGCGGTCTGACGACCAGCAGCAGCAGTAGCATCACCGGCACTACCGCAGGCTCCTCAGCAATTCCGGCTCCCAGGCCCCACCCGGACCTGCTGAATCAGAAGCTGCATTTTCACCAGCTCCCCAGAGGATGCATATGAAGTTTAAGAAATGCTGTATTATGGGTTTGGCTTTCATCCTGCAGGCAACGGAAACCACAGATGGTTGTAGAGCAAGGGTGTGAGAGGCTCTGCAAGGACCTCAGACACAGAGCGTCTCTGAGGGAGAAGGGAGGAGGGCCTGGGATGAGCAGCAAGAGCCCCTTCTGGGAGCCAAGAGTGGGTGAAGCTGCTGCTGGGCCCTGCTCCAAACACGACCCGTCTCGTCCAATGCGGCCAAACCCTGGGGAAGCAGAGGGAAAGGGGGACAGATTGCTGGGCCTGCACTGTGGCTAGAAGCCAGGTTTGCTAGGGGCCCGGCCTACCAGCAGCTCCTGGTCAGAGTGTGAGTGTTCTACATTTCCAACACTATGGATGACAGTGACGGGGGCTGGGCCGCCTGGGGAAGGTGGGGGCGCCACTGAGCCGATAGGCAGCCCCTCCATGGTCAGAAGAGGCCCTGACACCTCCACGTCCTCAGGTTTTATGAGATAATTGAAAGATGGATTGCTGTATGACCTGGGGCATGTGTCCAAACCTCTCTGGGCCTCAGCTTCCTTAGCTGCACAATGGGAATAACAAAAGCACCACCTTCTAGGGTTAGGGAGTCCACATATTGGGTCAGGAAGCATTTATCCATCCACTTTCCTGCCAAGAGTCTCACACCAATGCCTTGGATGGATCCAGGCCAGAAAGGCAGAACCTCAAGGCAGAAGAGCACACTGGCCAGATGCACCCAGGTTCAAACCCCAGCCCTGCCACCCAAGAACCTTGTCATTCCGGGCAACTCACTTCTTTCTGCCTGAGCCTCTGCTTCCCAACCCATGAGGAGTGAGGGCAAAGAGACCTTGGAAGGTCTGCCCAGCACACACTTTTGCCCTCTTCCCCACGTGTGGCCAGGCCTGCAGGGCCTTCTCAGGGTCTCCTAATGGGGAGCCACTGGCACCACTGCTGAGCGGGCTGTCCTCACACTGCAGGACACTGGCATCCCCGGCCCCCGCCCACCCAGGGGTAGTGACCCCCACAAGTGGGAACCGACCCCGTGCTGCACAGATGGGAAAACCGAGACTCAGAGAGGACGGTGTCTGAGGCCCCCCAGAGCAGAGAGAGGCCTGGACCCTGGCCTCTTTCCTTCCTCTCAGGTCCCAGGGCTGGTTAGTCATAAGCACAGCAGACTGCCAGGGACCCTGAGTGACAGCCGGAAATGAAGTCTGGGTGGGAAGGATGCAGAGATGGTGATTCGATAACAAGAGATAAACCCTTTGTTGCTGTTCTGCTGCTTCTCGCTTTGTCCCTTCCTCCCTCCCTCCCTCCTCACACCACCCCGAGGGCCAGGCCAGGACAATCCCTCCCCTCTCCTGGTGGTAAGACATTCCCATAAGGTGGGCACTGTTGCCCCCATTTTACAGACGGGGACACTAAAACCCAGTCTGTGATGCCACCAGCCACAGGTGAGGGCCACGAGGTGACCCCACCTTAGGGGGTGCTATTTGGCTGTGGCGCCCCACTCCGCCAAGCTGCCCCATAGCCCCAGCCCCATGGCCCGTCAGCTGACTTCAGGGGTAATGCCACACCAGTGGGCTGCACCCTGGCTAGGCCCCCAGGTCCACACCTGCCAGTTCCCAGCGCCCTTCACCACGGCTTTCCTCCGGCCCTGGAGGGCACAGGGGCAGGCAGGGCCACGGGTAGCAGGGGGCTGCAAGAGCAAAGAACAACAGGCTGTGTGCAGAGACCAGGGAAGGGCAAGGCTCGGGGTGGGGGTGGGGGGGAGGTGAGAGGAACCACAGCTGGTTCTTTACACAGAACCTCTGTACCAGGCCGTGTTCTCAGCATTTTACACCTATCTTCTCATTGCATCCCCACCTCAGAAACGAGGAAACAGGGGCCCAGAGAGGTGAAGCCACTTGCTCTTAGTCACACAGAGTGTGAGGGATTTAAGGCCAGGCCCTGCTGACGCCATCTACACAAGCAACCCATCCACAGCCCCCTGAGAAATGCACACTCACGGATACAGGAAGAAAGAGAGGGACTGTTAGGCGGCAGGGTCCCCAAGCTGCTGCTCCTGGGGAGTCTCTCTAAATCCTCTGACTAGGAAGGGCCAAGGGGCCACAGGCCCAGGCCTGGCCACAGACGGGGCAGCTCCTTGGGGCTCCCTCTTGGCCTCCACGCTGGACACTTGCAATGGTTTCCCTCCTGGAGGAGAAACATGGGGCCATAACCGTGCAGGGGACCTCTCTGAGCCTCAGGCCCCTCTTAATGATGAAGATGTCTGTGCTCACAGGGTTTTGCTGAGAAACTCTGTGAATAAACAAAACGCCTGAAAAACTGTAGAGTGCAGGGCCCGTGGAGGTGGTCAGTGTGAACACGGCCTTGCCCTACCTCTCTGGTCACTCAGTCACACAAAAG